GGTGGTGGGTTGTGGTGGTGGTGTGGTGGTGTGGTGGTTTGTTGTGGTGGTGGTGGTGGTGGTGGTTGTGGCGGTGGGTGGTGGTGGTGGTTTTGTGGTGGTGTGGTGGTGGTTTGTGGTGGTGGTGGTGCTGGTGGTTTGTGGTTGTGGCAGTGGTTTGTGGAGGTGGTGCTGCTGGTGGCGGTGGCGGTGGTGGTGGTGGTGGTGGTGGTGGTGGTGTGGTGGTTTGTGGTGGTGGCGGTGGGTTGTGCTGCTGGTAGTGGTTGTGGTGGTGGTGGCTGGTGGTGGTGTGGGAGATTGTGGTGGTGGTGGTGGTGGTGGTGGTAGTGGTGGTGGGTTTTTGTGGTGGTGGTGGTGGTGAGTTGTGGTGGTGGTTGTGGTTGTGGTGGCCGTGCTGGTGGTGGTGGTGGTTGTGTGGTGCTGTTGGTGGTGGTGGTGGTGGTGGGTTGAGGCGGTGGTGGTAATGGTAGTGGTGGTGGTGGTGGTAGTGGTGGGTGGTCGTCGCTGCGTCCCCGCCGTCGCCAGCGCCAGCGCCCCGCCGTGGGCGCTGCTGGCGGCCGCCAGCGACGGCGCCGACAGCGGCGCCGAGGGGGGTGGGGTGGGGTTTCGGGGGGGGGGGGTTTGGGGGGAAGGGGAGTCCCCCTGGTTTTGATCGACGGCGCCCAGTGTTGGGGGGGGAGCCCACCCCCCGGTTTGAAACGCGCCGCCGCATGTTCCCAAGGCAAGCGCCCGTGAAACGCGTTCTCTCTAACTTAATACTAACCCTGAGACCCTAACCCGAGGACCCTAACCTTTATTCCCGGAACCCTGAGACCCAAATTCTAATACCTTAACCATCGGACCCTTCTCCTACTACCCTTTATCTAGTACCTTAACCATCGGACCTGAATACCCTAGCCCAAAGACGCTGGCTCTAATACCCTAGCCGTACGATCCTACCCTATTCCCCAATCCAAGACCCGAATCCAAAGCCTTACTCCCAATGGCCGAACCCTAAGCCCCTAACCCTGATGCCCCAATCCAAAGACCCTGACCCGAATACCCTAACCCTAAGACCCTAAGCTGAAGACCCTACCCTTGAGCCCCTAGCCCTA